AACTCAAAAAAGCCATGTGTTTGCATTTACTGAAAGACATAGACTGCTTTGCAAATGTGTGTAATGATTTTTTAAATTTTGATTTAGATGCTTTTATTATTCTCCCTTAAGTTAAAGTTGTTGGCTCTGTCCAGCAACTGATTTGGCTTGACCGAGTTCTACTACTGTTACTTGCTTTACATCAAGCTACATCCACCTTCTTTGTTTACATGTTACGGGTCATAGCTATGCACATGGTGTCTTCTGCCATCCTTAGGATGTCAAATTCTGAAGCCTATAAATCTGTCCTCTGACTTTTAACACTTCTGCTAATTAACATGCAAGAGCAGAAATGCAATTTTAAACTGTCCAACAATGTTTTTGTTAAGAATTTCCTGTATCCTAAGAAAAGAAAAGGGGGAGAGGGGGAAAGGCTGCCTAAGAGAACTACTAGTTTTTGAATAATAAAAATGAACTAGCAGAATTGGATTTGGGATTTCAACTTTTATAAAGATGACAGGTGAATTAAAGTTTTATTTTATTTCTGATTTGGTCACGAGGCTCTGAGAAGTACCACAGCCATGCTTGTCGGGCAGCATTGTAAATTGTCTTAGGCCTAACATTTGCATGTTAGATATCTGCCTCTGTTGCCATGCGACACTGCCCTCCCTTTAACTCATAGCCTCTTTTCTCTCTGGGTAGCAATGCTGCCAAAGGATAGCGGTATGCTGATCAACTGCATAACATCAACTGGTCAAGTCAACTCTCATAACGGCAAGAGTACTTAGAATCTGAAAATCCCAATGTTGCCTTTGCTACTGATCAGAACTTAAGTAAAAGCAAGAGATGATGCAAGAATTATCAATAACTTCTCCTAATTATGATAATACTAAAGGTAACAGACTGAGGATCTCCAGGAAATAAAACTGTTCTGACACCAGGTCTTCCAAAAAGTTACAGTCTTGAAGCAGTTTCTTAAAACATATTTTTTAAAATGTTTTAAAATAATTAAGTAAATCATTACATTTAAGTTATTAGAGAAAGACTACCGTTACATCTTTGAGAAGGAATACCTGTATTTGTCATAAAAAAGAACACACGTTTGAAACATATCTGTCATACCTTAAAAAGAAATCTGTTCTGCTTTTAAGTTTTGATTATTTAAAATTAACTCCTCTAGAATTCTTTGCTGAGGTACTAGGAAAGCAGCTATACAGTACTTACCATTACTGAAGGATACACAGACATGATGGAGAGCTACTGTAAATTAAACCAGACATAGGTAACTCCCACCAGCTAAAGGCTATCAGGTTAGCTACTCTTTCCCCCCATCCCTACCTCCTCCTCCTCCTTTTTCTCTTAACCAATTAACATTTCATTAAAAAAGGCAACACCAGACAAACAAAGACACACTATGCAAAGGAGACTTTAAGAATATTTCAAACAGCAGTTTTCACTTCAACACTTCCAGTACCAGGCAAACAACTTCACAAAAACGCAAGAGGAACCAGCTGAAGCAGATACATAGAATCTGAAAAATCTCAAATCTGCAGGAATTTCAGTCAAAGGTTTGCAACATCACTGTGGTCACAACTGCAATGTCAGAGTTCCTCACACCTCTAGTAATTTCCTCCATTAAAAGTATGGCTCTTTAACACACTAGCTGCAGCACACATGCACACTGAGGCCTCACTTCAGCAAAAACTCCTCATTGGCCTATCTTTAAACATCTTACAGCAGATCCATTTAATTTTAAATACAGCATTTGGGTTCACAAAAGAAAACGGGGTGAGTTGTGTTCAGATCTTGTGTGGTACAAATTGTGTTACTGCCACTTGGAAAAAGATAACCCACATAAACAATTAGCCAATGCGAAGACACATTATATTGAGATCCATTTGAAGAACAATCAATTAGTAAAACGCCAGCAATACGTTCCAGATTTTGACATCCTCTGTGGTCAGTCAATAATTAAGTTTCAAACAATTTTAAAGAAACTCTATCATATTTGTACACCTGAACTTGTTCTGTACTTTTAGAAGAGCTACAGCAAGACTTGAATTTTGAACCTCTTTACCACACTCCTCAAACTGAGATTTTTAAAACAAACAACAAACAAACAAAATCCCAAACCAAACAAAAAACCCCACAACACCAAACCCCACAACTTTGTTACAGTTTTGAAATCCAGAAACAAACTGTTCGTGTATTTCAGAATTTTTTTATATAAACAGTTTGATAAAAATTTATTTCAGAAGATGTTTTTTAGTCCCTCAAACTATATATGGGTTAATAAGTAGTGTCACACATGAATACGTCATGCTACTGGCTTTAACGGAAGTCAATATAATATATCTACTGTGGCCTACAAGGATTTACTGGAAGCAGCGTACAAAATATACTGGCCCAATTTTATCCCTATTACAACCTCGCTGAAATCGATATAAGAAATAATTTCAGTGAAGCAAAACCCAACCCCCTCCACAAGGCCTAAAGAGTACATATGAAACTTCAAAATCTGTTCTTGCATATCTTGACTTACACTCAGTATATACCCTTCTTCCGCCTATATCTGTCATTATCTAGCATCAAATTTATGACAACATACTTTCAAAATCAGTGCCTCCATGAATGCTCACTCCCTGTATTTTGATTTTCTTTGTAGGTATCAAGTAACATGATTATCTCAGAGGGAGTTGCAATGAAATGTTATTCATGTCCTCCATCCACCTCATGAAGTTTGTATATCTTCATTATCCAATATTGGCCATAAGCTATCATATATCAATGACTGTACCATTCAAAATGCTGTATCTCAAATTAATTGGTTTGTCTTTTGGAGCGGAAGAGTGGAGTGTAGCAAATAACTTCTTTGGCAAGAAAACACTCAAACCCACAAAGATTTATCTGAAAATAGAAAATAACAACCTTCCTCCAAAACTGTATAAGCAAAATACAATCTAGAAATTAATACATATTTTATTTACATTCATTAAGGGGAGCTATGCAATAGGTTGTCTGTTACAACACTCATGGGTAAAGCAGTTACCTTAAATCATAAACCCAAAGTATTTTCACGTATACACTGTTAGCATATCTAATGTACTGCAGGGTTTTCACAATGAATGTCAATGAAATAAATACTTCATGGCAAGCAAGAAATATCAATGTTCCAATTTTTTTCTTTACATTGTTCAAATAGGCTCTGGGAATAAAAATAACTGGATGAAATGAGAGGGAAACCCTCAGAAGAACATGCATTCATACCATACTGATTAGAGAAAAAGCTTTTCACACCAATGCTGCAGGGTTATTGAGGATTACTATTGTGACAAAATACTGACTTCATAAAAAAAAAAAATCCAAAACAAACAAAAAAACCCCCAGCCAAACCACACACTAAATAAAGGTTTTGCACTTGTAATTTCCAAACAAGTTAATGCCTATTTTGCTTGTCCATGCTTATATTGTTGTATGCTTTACAATACAGATATCTGAACATGCTAATATTCAACTACCAAAATAGCAGTTAGCTGTCAAACTGTTGACAGATTATTGCCCCCGAATTAATAATCATTCATTTGATGACACATATCAACATGTAAGCACATGTAGCAAAACCCTGTTACAAAAGCCAGAGCTCAAATTTCTGTGCTTTCTGTGTTTTAGCTATACTGAGATAAGGCACTGACCTTTCTTGTTGATTCACAATGGGAGAATACTCTGCTTACAAGCTTACTACTCTGATGCGTTGTTGTTAGTGCGAAGAGTCACAAAAACATGTGTAAGAAGGCAGATAGGATTCAATAGCTTTCTCAACATTTGAAATGTGATATTTCCAACAGTTCATCAGTTCTTGTCATTTCCCCAGAAGTGTAAACAATTCAAGTTTAAAATTTCACTAACAGGGATAAAATACTCTGCAGGTTAGTGGGAAGGGAGGGTAATACTCCATGAACTAGTTGATAGAGGAGCTTTTCTCAGGTTTCATCTTTAAAGGACTCTACTATGCCATCTAGGATTTTCATGTAATAAGGACAATTTATCCTTGTAGTGAGACCATTTCTATCCAAAGAGACTTCAGGTGGCTGTACCACAAGAAATATTTTTCTGTGCATCTTGAAGTCAACGTGACTGTGATCGCAAATTACTCACTAAAGGATGGCAGACTGTTGCATTATGCAAACCCATCCACATTCTTTTGCATCCCTGTAAATGCAGCTAGTTTCCTGGTTTGATTGTACTGTAAGCTGTAACAATGGGTTTCACCTAATAAGCTATTCAGAAAACTCTTACACAGTATGCAGGTCATTTCAGCCCATTTCCTTGCTGTTAGAAGTAACATGAAAAATGCTTTCAAACACCATCTGAGACAGGAATACTTAGAAGCACCTTAAATCCTCATAAAATATTCACTAGAGCTATCCACAGTATCAGTTCTATTGTGGTCCCAAACACACTTAGTTAAGTCATGTACTACTGCTGCAGGAATAGATGTCTTGAAGGAAATCTCCTCTGCCCCACATAGATTGAATATTTTCAGTCCCATGCACGAAGAAGAAGAAGAAAGAAGGGGGGGGGGAAGAGATCACAGCTAGAATTAAAAAAGCTATTTTCTTTTAGCAATTCTAGAACTACATTATAATCACCGTGAGATAATGCTCTAACCTCCATCTGCACCATCCCAATCTTTCTCCTCCCACATCAGTGCTGAATTTGCGGGAATAGAAGAATGAATAAGCCAAGAACATTAAAAAGATATTTCTAGTTAGGAAGAGACTTGCATGTGGTTTGGGAACGGTACTGACATCATATTTACCTCAGGTTTGACCGGGCTGGGACCTCTAAGTAGCTCCTTTCTCTACCATTTGGGAAATGCCATGCCCAGTTACTGGAGCAAGACTTTTCTTCTGGGGTCCAAGCTGGTAGAGAGGTAGCCTAACAGAGTACCCAGACAGAGGTCTAGAAAGAAAGAAAAAAAGGGGGGAGGGGGGCGGGGGTGGAAATAGAAGCTGGCTTACGTGCTCCAGTTTGTCTTTCCTCCTCAGCCAGACACTGGCACTGTAGTCCTGCTGCTTGACGGTGCTGTAGAAGTTCGCACCTACTCTGGTGAGGCTTGGGGAAGGCTCCCTGGGTCTGCTCTTCAGCCTCATCTGCTCGAAGCCCTCGTGGGGGGATGAGGAGAGCCAGTCATGCCTGACTTCCATCTTGACATGACAAGGCAAAGTCCAAGGAAAAAAAAAATCAGAAGAAATGGAGAAATTAAGAGGCGCTAGACGAAGAGGGTCCAGAAAAGAACGGGGTGGAGGAAGAAGAAAGAGCAGGGAAGCAAAACCACCCCGGCGAACAGAAAACGGGAAGAGAAGGGGGAGAAAAGGAGGAACGGCCAGGTAGGAGGAGTGGAGGGGGAAGGAAAGGCTGCAGGTGCGAGAGAGGAGCGGGCTGGGAGAGATGGAAGGGCACTGGGGAGCGAAGGCGCTCCGAGACGCCGCCGCTCGTCGCCCTCGCCGCCGGCGAGCTGCAGCCCGGGACCGACGCAGCGGGAAGCGGCGGCCGGCGGCTCTGCCCGGGACGGAGGCGAGGGGAGGCGCGGCCCGGCGCAGACGGAGGCCGGGCGGGGCCGCCGCCTCCCGCCCTCCCGCCCTCCCGCCTGCAGGTTGGCGCAGTGGAGGGGCCGCCCCCCGCCCGGGGAGGGAGCCGGCTCCTCCCCCGCCTCCCCCTCCCCGGCAGCCACCTTCGGGGAAGCAGAAAGCGGCACGG